CAAGAAATCCCCAGAAGCGGCAACACCAGCTAAAGACCACATATGGCCCTCCGAGAGGATGGACTCCAGAACCACTGAGACCGAAAATACAATTTTAGCAATTGGGCGGCAGGTACCACGCAGATTGAGAGGCGGTAGTGCGCTACCAACAGGTACCAACTCTTTCTCAGTTGTCCGATTATGACATATCAACGGTCTAAATTTGGTACCTCTTACCTGATAACTCTCAAGAGATGGTAAAATACCTTTTTGTCCAAAGCAAGCAGATCCTCTCAAATTCCCTTTTTCACTTCCTTTCCGCCCATGTCCCTGCTCGATCGTCACGGAATAATTAACTATTTGCCACTCTTACTAGTGGTTCTAAAGGATTTGCCACTGGACCCACGTGTCATAGACACATAAGGGCCCACATGTCGTAGACAGCGAGTGGCAAATCATTAATTGGCACATCTTAAGAGTGGAAATAATTAAATGTCCTGATCGTCATGGGCAGAGTGACGGGCACGTGTCCAACCCAGCGCTAAGGCTCGTCGAGTATATGTTTGTCGACGAACACAATCACATACTTTGCCTATTATTTGTAAAATATTAACGACTACATATACTGTTTACAAGAAACGTAAGCACACGGTTACATATATAGCACATGTACAACAACCCAAACAATTGACATACTATTGAGAGACATGCATTTGAAGAAGAGCAATATATAGTAGTGATGCAGAAGTCACCAAATGCAGCTTGCCAATCTTGTTATTTTCATCTCTATCGATCGGGACCTATAATTCATCGGTGGTGTCGACAATATGTCGTATACCCAGCCCAGCCGAAGATTAGTATCAGAGTCCAACACTCCTTCAGCACGCCAGAGAGAATGTCCTTCGTCAGTGACAGCAACGCCCAAAGCCCCATTCTGATATACAACGGTCCAGCGAGTGCATAGAGCTTCTGAAGGCGTCCCTTGTTTCTGTACAGCATAGTGAAGGGGCTGAGCACGCAGACGGCAATGCCAGTCTTGGCATCCACCGGAGCCAGCACCATGTACATCCCCAGTGCAAATGCCGTGACCAAGCTGGCCAACCTGCTGCTTGAGTACTGGTCCTTTGTGATGATCTTTGTATTGCCCTTGTACCTCAAGTTCTGAACCACCTCACGTTAATTAGTTCCACTTAAGAGCTCAAGCTGGTGAACTTTCACAACAGGAATCTTGGATAGGTCAGTTTTTTGGGAGCGATACATATCGGACATCTAATATTTTAGCTAGAAAACATCGGATGATGTTGCACTGTATTATTACGAAATGTTTCACATGCTGCACTACTCGATGAAAAAATGTCTCAACGAAAATATTTCAGATGCTTCATCAATCGGGAAAAAATGTTTCATCACATGATTGAAAATATTTTAGCTCTCAAACAGAAATGTTTTGACAAATAGAAACAATGAAACACAATCGAATCACAACATGAAACATTTTGGTGTAGCGTTTGAAACATCATGTTTCATCTATTGGGACATCCACGATTCACAAACTTTGTAAAAAATACCCATTTATTAGACATTTAGATCCAACACAATGAAACACAAAAAAAAAATTGTGGCCTGAAACATCGAAAAATCCTAAAACAAACGGTAAGTAGTCTAGATCCTTCTTATTACTCTCCAGTGGGAGGTAGCCGGCCATCATCGAGCTTGGCACCAGAGCACTCTTCACGCCGCCAATGGCATGTGGTCCGCCACAGTCATGCTATGTCGCCATCGACGCCGAGGCCTAGCTCACAATGCCATCGTCGAGGGCGAGAGGCCATCGCCGTCGTGCTGCGCCACCGTCAAGGAAGATGTGGCCAATTGCGCCACCCTCGAGGAAGTCGAGGTGAATCTCACATCGTGCCGGCACGCCACCCACGCCATGCTGAGGACGAGAGGCGGAGCTTGTCCGTACCGTGTCGAGCGTTAGTGACAAGAGGATCGAAGGAGCTCATCGCTTTGCCTCCGCTGCATCAAGGACGAGAGAGTGCTCACTCTGTTGGGGATGAGAAAAATTTGTTAGAGCACTATATGTATAAATTGTTTTTCTTATGCTTTTTATGCTTTTGTATGTTATAGTTGTTGTTTTCCTCTCATCCCTTAGTCTTTAAATGTGGTGCTTTTATATGTAAAATAATGTTTTTGCCAACTTAAAATTTTTAGATCTAGATAGGAACACAAAAAAATATGTAATTTTGCTTATGTGAAATTTGTGGACCTAGATAGTTACAAAAGATAAAAAGATCACACGTTGCCTTCTTATTTTTATTCCTCGTTCCCTAGTTTCTTTTATTCCTCTTTCCATAGAGAGCAAATTTATTTTTATAAATTTATTTTTGTGAATTTAAATATATACAGATTAATGTGTTAATTTAATAATATATGAAATATTTTTAGAGACATGGACAAGCAATGGATGTATCATACGCCAAGATATATGCCGTCATATATGAATGAAGTATCTAAATAATATTGACAAGACGCACGCTTTCCAATAAGAATATAACAAAGATACATTGTCCATAGGATGACTACAAGAATGAAAAGTATGGGCACATACAACGAGAATCATGGGACACTAGTGAAATTTATGAATACCTATTATTGCGAGCAAGGTACACCACAAAAAACTGAACAACAAGTGGATCTTGATGACAATAAAGAAAATCGAAGGGATGTTGATCATATGGACGCTAATGATGGTAATAGTTGTGGTGATAATATTTTTGGTTTTCCAAAAATGCTACGCCATATAGAACCTGAGGTGCTAATTGGGTCCGCTAGGGGTTTAGATAATTTTGAAGCCTTATAAAAGGCAAGGCAGCGAAGGAATTTTTGTACGCTGAGTCAAAGGGGTGTGATAGAGAGTTCTAAACATTACGTTCAATGCTTGAACTTACGAGATTAAAGGTCAGGTATGGTTGGTCTCACAGTTATTTGTTAGCTTACTAGAGCTTTTGAAAAGGCAAAATTTACTACATGACACTCAAAAAATATGTAATTGGCTGAGAGATATTGTAAAAATGTGACACGGCTGATGGATACTACACAAATTATGTAATTAGCTATAGGACACCAGAGACAATATTTTATAATTTATGGATCAAAAGAGGTGAGAAATTTTTCAAAATGGCGAAATTGCCCCTGGCACCATCTTCCTCTCACGGCTCGCCCATCCACGACAGGTTCCCAACAGCACCTCCGCCGGCGGAGAGTCGTTGTCCTCATCATCGCGGCGCTGGCGCCTGCGCGACCTCGTCGGCGTCGGCGTCGGCGGCTGGTCAACAATGGATCATAAACTGGGTGACCGATGAGATTTGGTTCTGGTGTGCAGGTCAAATCCTTCATGCCAGATGAATAAGGTGGCACAACTGATAATATGTGACACACCACCTTGTAAAAAATGGACATGCTTGACATTCTGCGGTCGCTCCCATCCCCTACCCCCTCATAGACCTTTTCCTTTCCTTTCTTTTACAGGTAATTCCTAGCCCCAAAGGCTATTGTACAATGTTCCCTCCTTCTAGCATTAACTATCTAGTTATATTACTAATCACGGTTTGAATGCCCATTTAATGTTTCAAATGTATTTTTTTACACAGTTTTCAAATTTATATACATGAAACTCAAATAAGCATGATAAAATCACTATACTATTTCAAAATTCCCTTTTGTCCAAAGCAAGCAGATCATCTCAAATTCCCTTTCTTCACTTCCTTTCTGCCCATGTCCCTGCTCGATCGTCACGGGTAGTTTGACGGGCACATGTCCAACCAGCGCTGAGGCTCGTCGAGTATATGTTTGTCGACGAACATATGACACAACACAATCACAAATTTTGCCTGTTATTTTTTAAAGGAAAAAGTACGAATTAGCCCCCTGAACTATCGCGGTCGGCTGAATTTCCCCCCCGAACCTAAAAACCAGACATGACTCACCCTGAACTTTCAATACCGGACGAATTACCCCCCTCGACCCAATCCAGAGCGGTTTTATCCTACGTGGCGTAGGCGTGGCAACCCAGTTAGCATTTTCTTTTTTAAAATATGGTGGGACCACATGTCATATATTCTCTCTCTCCTTCCCCTCTCTCACTTTCTATCTCTCCCTCACTCGGCGAGCAGGCAGACGGCGGTTGCGGCGTGGGATGGGAGGCGGCACTGGCTTGGGATGCGGCGGCGTGGGATGCACCGGCGACAGCGTGGAATGCGGCGGCTATGGCGTGGGATGCGGAAACAGCGGCGGCGGCGTGGGATGCGGCGGCGGCAGCGTGGGATGCGGCGACGGCAGCGTGGGAAGTGGGATACGGAGGCGGCGGCGGCTGCACCATGGGATGCGGCGGCGGCAGCGTGGGAAGAGCCGGCGGCGGCGCCTCCGCATCCCGCACCGCCTCCACTCCCCGTCTCCTCCTCCAAGCCCACCTCCGCACCAAGAACGATCATGCGCTGCCTCGTCGACCTCCTCCCCTCGCCGCTCTACCTCCCGCGCCGCCTCACCATCTTGGATATCATGGCGCACCGGTGGTCGAAGCCCACCGCGGTGGCCTCCGAGCTCCTCTCCCCGCATCCCACGCTGCAGCCGCCACCGCCGCCGCATCCCACTTCCCACGCCGCCGCCGCATCCCACGCCGCAGCCGCCGCATTCCGCGCTGTCGCCGCCGCATCCCGAGCCGCCGCCGCCGCCTCCCATCCCACGCCGCAGCCGCCGTCTGCCGTGTTCGCTGAGTGAGGGAGAGAGAGAGAGTGAGAGAGAGAGAGGGGAAGGAGAGAGAGAGAGTATATGACATGTGGGCCCCACCATATTTTAAAAAAGAAAATGCTGACTGGGTTGCCACGTGTACGCCACGTAGGATAAAACCGCTCTGGATTGGGTCGGGAGGTTAATTCGTCCGGTATTGAAAGTTCACGGTGAGTCATGTCTGGTTTTCGGGTTCGGGGGAGAAATTCAGCCGACCGTGATAGTTCGGGGGGGGTAATTCGTACTTTTTCCTTTTTAAAATATTAACTATTTACAAGAAACGCAAGCACACGGTTACATATATAGCATATGTACAACAACCTAAACATTGACATACTATTGAGAGAGATCGATGCATTTGAAAAGAGCAATAAATAGTGATGCAGAAGTCACACAAATGCAGCTTGCCAATCTTGTTATTTTCATCTCTCTCGATCGGGACCTATAATTCATCGGTGGTGTCGACAATATGTCGTATACCCAGCCCAGCCGAAGATTAGTATCAGAGTCCAACACTCCTTCAGCACGCCAGAGAGAATATCTTTTGTCAGTGACAGCAACGCCCAAAGCCCCATTCTGATATACAACGGTCCAGCGAGTGCATAGAGCTTCTGAAGGCGTCCCTTGTTTCTGTACAGCATAGTGAAGGGGCTGAGCACGCAGATGGCAATGCCAGTCTTGGCATCAACCGGAGCCAGCACCATGTACACCCCCAGTGCAAATGCAGCCACCAAGCTGGTCCCGGAGCTCGTCAGGAAGAAGATGGACACGGCGAAGTGGTTGCGGCGGACAGGCAGGTTGACCATGGAGATCCCGGAGTACATAAGATCAAGGGTGGCAATCGAGGAGCAGATGAATGCTAAGGTTGTTGCCATGATGAATGCGTCGAACGTGTACCTTCCCGCGAGTGTCGGTGAGCCGCCATTGATGTGGTCATCAGCTCTATAGCCTCCTGGTAGAGCGAAAGTTGCGCCGAATGTCACCGTTGCTATCAGGACGGAGCCAATGGCTAGGGTTTGGGTTGAGTCACTCAGTATCTGGGACTCGTTGCTGTCGCCCTCTGCCGTCCCAGGGGGTATGTGTTTTTGTTGCAGTTGATCCCATCGAATAGTGCCATGCTTTGCACCGGAACGAACCAGGGCATGATGTATTGTTTCTTCTAGGTTCTGTTAAATCAAGTAGGATCAACACAAATCATCAGTACATTTTTCAGGGGCTGCATGGTAAGTGATTTTAGTTATCTATATAAGTTACTAATTTTAACCACTAAATGCATATCAGCTTCCCGTTGTCTAACAGTATCCTACTCATCTATGATCCATTGTTCACAAGCAAACGATAGAGCAAACAGAACCAGTTTCAGTAAAACTTTTCTATGATATACTACTCATCTTGGATAGTTGGGTGCTACGAATAAGCAAAACGTTTTTAAGAAATTTTAAGACATGCATGCTGTGACAATTTTTCAGCGTAAATGTAGGTATGTCCTGGTGCTAGAAACTGAGTAGAATCAAATTTTATAGTAGAAAACGTAGGCTGTGGTACCTCACTAGTCACTACGTACCTCATCAATTACAATAAAACTGCTTAAAACATTTTGTTAGGCTTTTTAGAATTTAAAGTGCAAGCATATAAGGAAGTAGATTACCCATCCATAGAAAATCCCTGTAGGAATTTTTCTTCTTGCTACATCCAGTGGAGTTTGCCCAACCTTATTTGTCAGATTTAAGAGTACCCGCTTGTTACCTAGCAAAGAGCAGACTAAACTCAGGTTCCCAAGCTGGACAGCTAGGTGCAGTGCAGTGTTGCCTTCTTTGTCCTGCATGTTCAACACAGATGAAAGAACTACTTTTTTGCAAGCAAACCTAACAATATCATTCCTCTGCTTCTCGACAGCAATGTGAAGGAATGTTCTTCCATCAGAGTCACGAAATGAGGCACAACCTGGCCATTTTTCTATCAAGATTGCTATGGCGCTCCGGACACCTGCAGATGCAGCGACATGGATTGGTAGGGACTCTTCATTGTCTGGTTGAAATGCTGAAGAAGGACAAGCTTCAAGAACTTTGGAGACAATTGCTTTGGAACTGAATCGATTGTGTAGTGACGATTCCACTGATGCAGCAAAGTGAAGAGGTGTACTCCCGTATTTATCCCTTTCTTCAGAAAGATCGTTCTTCCATCTCAACAGCCTTTCTGTCATGTCTGTAATCAAGCAAATAAAGCATATATAATGAATATTCCAACTTTTAGGTACATATATAATAATACATGAAAATATGTGGTGCAAACCTAGAAACTACCGTGAATCCAAAAATGAATGTCTGAGATTTGTCTATGTCACCCTCAGTAAAACTTTTACTCATGGTTAAACTTGGGAGTAAAATTTTACTTAAGATGATGTGGACAAATCTTAGACATTCATTTCTAATTATATATATGGTAGTTTTCAGGTTTGCTATATATATAGAGATTGTACTATATATTTTCCCTAGTTAAACAGCAATTTCCACTACAGTCCTATACTCCTATTGTTTTATCTGTAGTTGAAAAATCACTACATGGTTTCTTTGGCTTATTTCCATTTTGCCACTACTAAGGCCATCATTTTTTTATGGTATTAGGGTTGTTGTTACTCATCATAGATGTACTATAATAAGTGGTTTAAAATAAATCGTCTGCCGCCACAGGAATATAAAAGTCATGTCCTTACCAATTTACCATGTCAATCGGTCTCCATTTTTGACACAAGAATATAAAAGTCTTGTCCTATCCAATTTATCATGTCAATCGGTCTTCATTTTAGAGGGAAATTTATAGTGCAAGCCACGTATATATATTGAAAACCTGAAAGCTACCTTAATAAGGATCGAAATAGACGCATGAGATTTTTATCCTACAGTAGTTTTCAGCTTTGTACTATATTTTTTGCCTTATTTGGTACATGCTAAAATGGCTTATGATTATCATATTGAAATTTTTTAACTTAACTTTCTATAATCAGTACTTCCAAGATCTTCTCGATCACTATATGTACACATTGTTTTTTCCAATTTATGAAAATTCATGAAAGATAACGAGTTAATTAGCAGGAAAAAAAGCACAACCTTATACTGCTTCCTAAGATTAGTAGAAAAGGCTCTGTTTTCTTACTATGTTGTTGGTAGTTCAGAAATACTCTAAACAGGAAGTGCGTAGCAAGTACCTTTGCCTCGAAAAACTGCAGCGTGCAATGCATTTTGTCCATTGGGTCCAGCGTAGGATAGAATGTTTCTTTTACTCATATCATATAGGGTCTGAGCGATAACATTCTTTTCCAGCAAGATGGCTAGATACAGTGGTGAAGTGCCTTCTCGAGGAAATCTAGCCAATTCTGAATCATACGTCAATAGCAGCTTGACCATAAGATTATCGCCGATGCATACAGCCTGGTGCAGTACTGTCTCCTTCGAATTATTCTCCTTCCTAAGGAGATCCTTCACAACATTGGCACCATTAGCTTCAGTTGCAAGATCAACAAGCTGAGAAACCATTTGGGGATTCCCGGCCCTTACGGCGCAATGCAAGGGCGTGTCGCCATTGTTGTTTGGTTGGAAGAGGAGGTGTCTTGCACTACCATGGATTACTTTGGCACACTTGAGGAAACTAGGGCCATTCCCATGTGTGGCCACCACATGAAGCGCGGTGTTCCCATCAACGGTAACACCCTCTAGCAACGACTCTGCAGCCACGGAAGGAACATTGGTACATTCCTCTATGTCAGAAGGCGAACTTCCGTTGCGCACTGGTATGAGCTTAAGGAATTTCTCGCTAGGCTTCATGGTAGTTGGATGAGCTACTGAGTTGCCGTCTCCGCTGAGAAGGAAGCTCAGACCCTCACAGTCACCGGAGCACGCCGCTGCAAGAAGCAGCCGATGCATGCCGCGGCGGACCACCGGAATCTCCACGGCTGCATCCTCCCTAAACCGCCGGCTTTGGCCACGGTCTCCGGCCACCACCGCCATGGGCACAGCAGGAGCACGGAGGCTTGCAGCCTTTGGCAGCTGGGAAGGCCTCATTGTGGGTGGTGCAGTGTTGGATATTGTGTTTTGGGTCACTTGTATGGGTGGAAGTGTGTAAATTTGCTAGGAACCATTTGCAGCTTTGCAAGTGGAAGTAATCCATATTAATTTGCTGACCACCGTTGCGAACCGTACTACTCCACTCATCTGCATTTGCAGTTTGTTCTTTCCTTCGCTAGGCTTCACATGTTCCTTCCTTCATATGCAATTTGTTCTCTACTTCTTTTGCCTGCGGCAACGCGAGACAAGATCGTACGTTCGATACAAAAATAATCTGCGGTTTATATGCGTGGTAGCTAGGCGCCTTTCGTGTATTTAATTTGCATTGGCCTATGGTCTTGTGTTCGTTCTCTCCGGGCAAGATTATGGGATCAAAAGATTGTTTCAATCAAGATTATGCCGCTTCGTTTGTTGCACTGGAGCAAGTTAAGTATCCTCTCTTTTCAACTTTTTATTGAACCGTTTGCGTTACCTGTCTAGTTAGCCTACGATGTGATGCAATGAAAGAGCCCATGCGCTTTGTATGCCGTACATCACTTGCAGCTTCTTTTATTCTTTAGCTATTCCCTCTGTACTTTTTCAACACCAAAGGGCAACTTAGTCTCTGGTTTCACCGGCCGTTAGGCATTGTTTTTCTCAAAAGGAAAGAGATTCATGAAGAAATTTTGTAGGATTCAAATCCTACAAAATATTAGGGCTTTCAAAATCCTATAAAATTCATTTGAAAAGACATAATACACAGTGATATGAAGAAATTAGAGATAATCTAGGTTTTACCCCTTCAAAATTGTCCTTGCAATTCTCTCTTATTTGGAAAATACAATATAAACACACATACTCATATATACATACACACACTCACCTCGATAAATAAATACATGACCATCTCCTCTAACGATCAAGAGGCACACATTCCTTCCAGATCTACCATCCAAATTAATTAAATGGCTTGTTTTTATATCATCGATATCACCTTCTTCTTTCCTAATTCCAACCTGGCCGTAAACTTTACGGCTTAAGGGCTGTTTAGATGAGAGGGAGAGACTTATATTTATTAGAGAAGGACTAAAATCATCCAAACAGGGCCTTATACGGCCTCACTCTCTAGTAATTGCATTTTTACTGTGGACGGACTGGCGCTACCAGCTGGACCAAGGGTAGGCCTCAGCTTTTTCATAGAGATTTAATCCTTGATTAGGTTGCTTTAATGGCAGTACGGTTGAGTAATTTGGTCACAAGTTGGTTCTTTTGAATGCCATCTTCCGATTGGCCGGATCAATCTATGGTTGAGTAATTATTTGGGCACATTGTCACAAGTGGTTGTTTTGAAAGCCGATCTTCCGATTGGCCGGATCAATCCAACTTATCTCGGGTTTGATGCAGGCTCAGATCGGCTAAGGGTACCCGCAATGGTTATCTATAGGCTCTCTACAAGAGATCCATGTTAGCATATTTTCCTACTTGGAAGAGATTAAATGAAGAGAGAGAGGAAAGCTATCTACTAACCTGGAGATAGTCTATAGAGAAAAACGAGGCAATGGATTAGAGAGCTATAGATACCCATGTAGACATACCATTGAAGTGGTTTACTATTAATCTAGTCTATTGCTGAGATGTACATGTTTATAGATAGCACCTTACTTTACCATTGTGGGTGCTCTAAGGGCAAGTACTATAGTCATTTAAGTATAATATTCTAGATGCCACCTAAGTTTAAATGATGATTTGGAGGAGAGACGAGATGAGAGAGAGGATGAGCCACCCCTCATGTAAGGGGTAACCTCTTCACAAACTTTAAGGAGGAAGGAAAAAAGAGTAAGGTTGATTGGATGAGAGTGAATAAAATAAATATTTATATTGCATTGAGACTAGTATATGAGCTGCCCTCTAATAAATTAATTGATGATGTGGACAATATTAGAAGTGATAGTCACCTCTACCATAAAACTTGCCCTAAGAGTGCTGACTAGGTTGGAGATAAGAAACTCCACGTCAGCGTATTTCTACGTGGAAAGAGAGTGAAGCAGGCGCTTGCAGAAGCGCTGAGCGTTAGCATGCCGGAGCAGGCGCTGCTGCCCTCCCGCAGCAGGTGCGGATGATAGTTATGCAGTTATTGTTGATCCCGTGTGCATAAATAATTCTGCCTGCTCTCACAAGTGCAACATGCAAAAGATTCTGCTCTCATCCGGCATGCGACACACAGATGGTCACACAAATAAAAGCTAGATTTGATCATACTCACATGCAGTCAATAAATGTATTCAAACTTCTATCGAGACAATCTATAGCCAATCCATTATACCATCCATCTACCGCCGGCAGCAAGCTATAGTATTATCCTTGCTCTTACTGTTTCCATATTCATCATATTATATTGTGTGTGAAAACTATATACCTAACGGCTAATTTCTTCAATATAAAATCATCCAATTACCTCTCTTTTATCTCATTTTATCCATGTATTCCCTTATTTTCATTCTTAGTTCTTGCTGGTTTCTTACGTGAGAATGTTTTCTTATCTTTTTTCCTTTCCTCGTTAACTGTTTCCTCACCTCAGCTTTTTTTTTCTTACGTGGCAATTTATTTAACATATAGCTGAGGTAGAGAGTTGGGAATGCTTAGAGATTCTTAGCACTACTGCCAAGATATTGCATAGACTCAAATAATTAGGTGGATAGAAGTAAATAGAGGAATAGCCACTACACATATAAGAGGCAACCTCAGGAGGAAAAAGAAAAAAGTGATGTAAGTGAATAAAAAGAAGGGAGTACCTACATGCGACAGTTTTTTTTTTTAGAAAAAAACTTTCAAATGTAACTACACTGTAATTATATATATTGTAACTAATATGTAACTGGTATGTAACTAATATGTAAGTTGCTCTTTTCTCTCAGAAACATGCAACGCTGTAAGTGGCTAGCGCAGTGGATGCATGAGCTTAAGTCCACGGATCGAATCTAGCACAGATCTTAAAGAACATCCGACAGTAAAGATTTGAATGTTTTGAGGAAAAAAATATGTCAAAAGTTTTAGCTCTTTAATAATATCATTGAAAGTATGAAACTAGTTTTGATTGCTAAATTCTTTCAATGTAAACTATTGAATAATCTCACAAATAAGGACTAGTTTACCCATTGATTGTTATTGACAGTGACTATTTGACCTCCTTTGCTATTAATATTAGTTATTCGGTCTCATGGCTTCGCCCCCTGGTGGAACTAGTGTATTAGAGATAATATATTGCATGTACCACCACTTAGGCTGTGTTCTTTTCCCCTCCTTCCCAACTCACTTCCCTGGTTTTCCACGCGCACAATTTTCAAACTGCTAAACGTTGTATTTTTTACAAACGTTTTCTATATGAAAGTTGTTTTAAAAAATCATATTAATCCATTTTTCAAGTTTTTTAGGATAATATTTAATTAATCTCACTATAATTGTGTGCTTTGTTTTCTATGTCGGGAGGCCTCCGAACGCAACATTAATTATTTAGTTGATGATGTGGGTAAAATTACAGGTAGCAAACACCCTACCATAAAACTTTCAACCAAACCACTACATTGGATAAAGCAACAATCCAAACTACTCAATAGGGCCATCGACAAGTAGGAGCCATCCAGGCGGGAATAAGTTCACATTGACTCCCTTAACTAGCGACCAAATCTGATTGGTATCCTTGAACTGCAATATCGGATATATCAATCACCAACTATTTAAACCGGTGCAATTTTGCTCCCTTAGCAGTTTTGGAGGGCAGTTTCACTAACGTGGCATCTACGTGGCAGTGTTGACCTGGTTTGTAGTGTTATAAACATATATAACATATATGTGTCGTATTATAAACATTTATGTGGGCCCCATTCGTCATTTACACAAAAAGAATTGTGGAACCCACTGACATGTGGGCCCACATGTCATCCCCTCTCTATCCTTCTTCCTCCTCCCTGTCTTCCATCTCTCGTTGTTTCTCTTCCTCTCCACTTCAGGGCGGGATCTAGAGCAGCGACGGTGGCAGGCTGTAACGCCCCAATTTTTGTTCGGGATTAAAAAACAATTAATAATGCATTTCCAGAAATTATATTAAAATTTAAAGCAATTTAATCAAGTGAAATTATAGAGGGAATTAAAAGTTTTCCCGTAAAAATCATGGCCGAGAATATTTTGTAATATTCTTTGTGCCCTAAAGATTCTTTGAAATTTTCCCCTGAATTTTCGGAGCTCAAAAAGTAATTATAATAATACAAAGTTCATTTAATCAATTTAAATAAAAAGAAAAAAAATAAAATCCCCTCCCCTCCCTCTTGTGCTCGGCCCAAGCCTCCCCTTCCCCTTCCCGGCCCGGCCGCCTCCTCCCCTCTCCTCTTTCAGCCGCACGGCCCAGCTCGCTCCCCTCCCTCTCCCGCAAGTCCTCTCTGCTTCCCTCCACGGGCCACCCCTCTCTCCTTTGGCCGATAGGTGGGACCCACGATCCCACCCATCAGGTCCATCCCCTTCCTCCACCTGCCCCAACCGCGCCAAGCCGCCATTGCCGCCCCACGTCACCCTGATTCCGGCCCCTCCTGCTCGCGCCCTCGCGCCCAAACCACGTGGGATCGGTTTCCGTCCACCTTGTCCACCTCTCCCCAATCTTTTACCCAATTTTCGGCGCCGTTTTGAGCCCCACTCACCCACATCGCCGGAACCCACCTCGTCGGCCATTGCCACCCGATTCCGCCACTCCCGGCCACGGTTTCCCTCCTCGAGTGCTTTAAAATGATCACCGCACCTCACCTCGTCCCTTTTCCCCTTTCCCCGAGCTCCCCGCGCCTAGAAACCATTCCCCCGCATCGCTCACTCCCTCCGCTGTCGCCGGAGTTCTCCAGTCGCTACTTCCCACCGCTAGGGCCGCCGTCGCGCTGCGCTGCCACCGCCATGCCAAGCTCCACCTCGGCATCCACTCCGTCCTCCCCTTCGACCCCCGCAAAGCCATTCCCACCGTGAGGCCGAGCCACGGGCTCTTTCCTCCGTCTCCAGCTGCTCCCCGCCGGCGAGACAGGCCACCTCTGGCCGTGCTGCTGCCTCCCACAGCGCTGCCGCTCCACGCCGCACCCCGTCCGCCGCTCCCCACCCCCAATCCACCACTGAGCCGCCACCTCCACAGCCAATCCGAGCTGTCGCCATCAGTGTTTCCTCCAGCCGCCCGCCGCCCGCCGGCGCCTGACGCTGCCTCGGCCCGTGCCGCCACCACCGCTCGATTGCCGCTAACCGCTGCCAAAACCCTATTTCCCCTCGTCCTCCGGTGAGCATCTCCATTTTGTTCGCCATCTCCTGCCGGCCGCGTTAGCCGCCATGGTCGTCGTCCCCGCGGTTAACCCCTCTCCTCTCTTTCTGTAGGTGTCCCCGCCGCCCGTCCGCTTCTCCTCGTCGCCAGGTTGTCGCCGCCGTCTTCAACCTCCGCTCCGGCCTTTGAGCTCGCCGGTGAGGATCCCTTCCCTTCCTTCATCTCTCTCCCTCTCTCCTGTGTGCGCCATTGCCTTTGGCCGCCGCCTCCACCCTGCGCGCCGTGCACCGCCACCTTCTGCGTCGCCGCTCGTCACCAGCGACCGTCGGGCCGGGCGCCGCCGCTCTGCTCGCCCGTGGCCGCCCGGTCCCTTTGCCACGCTGCGCCTACTCGTGGCTGTCCGATTGGACGCCCTAGCCGATCTGGGCCGTCCACGTGTCGCTCTGGCGTCGCCCCGCGTGGGTGCCCTCGTGGCACCAGTTGGCACCACGTCCGCTCACCCATCCGTCGTGGCCGCCACATGTCTGCCACATGGAGCGCTCGCGGCAAGAGCATGCGTGGACCCGATCCACCATGCACCCGCCTCCCATTAGCCACTGACAGGTGGGGCCTGCTTGCCGGCGCCACCTAATCCCCCTCGGTGACGTCAAAATTCATTTAAATTGCGCAATAAATCGATATTAATTATAGAAATCTATTTAAATGGCTCAAAACTTCTATAATTCATAGTTAATTCATTCGAACTCCAAATTGTGTCGTTCTACTTGCAAAATTCATCTAAAATTGAGCTCTAAATGTTTGTTTGCTTTTTACGTACTATTTCCTTGGTTTTTATCATACTAAATGAACTTATGTGAAAAAGTTATCAAAAACAAAGTTGTATAACTTATTGCTATCTACCTACTTTATTTTGGTTATTTCTCCTTCTGAGTTTGATTGACCTATATAAAATTTGAATTTCAAATTATGACAACTTCAAAAAATATTTTTAAATACTAAATGATTTCAACTGAAATGGTCATCAACATCAAAGTTGTATAAATCATCAATATCTACAACTTTTGTTTTGATCATTTTTCTATATGACTTTGTTTCAATAATTTGAATATGAATTTAAAATTATGACAACTTCAAACAACATTTTCAAATATTAAATGATTTTAACTGAAAAAGTCATCAACAATAAAGTGGTATAACTCACCAATATCTATAACTTTTATTTTCGTTATTTTCTCATCCGACAAAGTAATATTAACATTGTTCACAAAATTTACATATCTCTCTTATAGTTTATAAACTATATAAGAAATATGTACATTTTGTGAACAATGTTACAAATCACTTTATCGGATGAAGAAATGAACCAAATAAAAGTTATAGATATTGATGAGTTATACAACTTTGTTATTGATGACTTTTTCAGTTGAAATCATTTATTACTTGTAAATGTTGTTTGAAGTTATTATAATTTGAAATTCAAATTCAAACGATTCAAACAAAATCATATAGAAAAATGACCAAACCAAAAGTTGTAGATATTAATAAGTTACTACCCGAAAAATTATTTGAATTTCTTGTATTTTAAAATTTAAATTTTATATAGTTCAATCAAACTCGGATGGAGAAATATTCAAAATAAAATTGGTAGATCTCAATGAGTTCTACAACTTTGTTTTTAAAAAGTTTTTCACACGAGTTCATTTAGCTTGATAAAATTCGATTCAAAGTTTTAATATTTTAAAATTAATTTTTTTCCCTCCTCCTCCTTTCAAATTTTTTCATCTCCTCTTCTCTCTCCCCTCCTCTCCTGATATTTTAACTTCCACTATCCTTATCCTATCCTGAGAAAATGGACATTTTGCCATGCTCAAAAAGCGGTTTCGCTAGAATTCCATTTTGAAAACGTCTTTCGTTAAAATGCCAATATGAAGCGTGCGACCACAGCCACTTTGCTATTTTCTCCATTTTCTCCATTTTTGATTTTATTTTCGCTGGAATGTGGCTTGATGAGACGAAATTGCCCTGAGACACAGCGAGCCCGACGATGTGAAGCTCGCCGGCCAACTGGTCGTAGAAGAACTCCTCCAGCTCAATCACGGCGAGCACCTCGGCGACGCCGACGAGCACGTGCTGCGGCACTAGCCACCACACATCCATCGGCACCGTCGCGTCCGGCCGGTCCACTAGGACATGCAAATCTGTGCACGCTATAAGATAGTGGGACCTGCACATGCTAGCCTGGCTAGGGGAGAGAAAGAGCGTCCCATTTCTCTTCAGAGCATCTCTAACCGTCTCTCCAAATCTGACTCTCCAAATATCTATTTGACCAACTCTCTATTTAATTAGCAAGTCAAATTTATTATTTACTCCAACAACCTCTCCATTCATGCTCTCTATTCTGAGTGTATGCCAGTGAGACCCGCATGTTAGCCTCAACTCTTTCTTCTTCCTCATTTTCTCCCCCTTTTCCCGAGCAACTACACAACGGTGAGGCGGTCCCCCGTGGTGCCCATGTCCGTCTCCGCCTTTGCCGCCGTCGCTATCGCCGCCGCCGCCTCCTCCCCCTCCCGTCCCCTCGTCATCGCACCCCGCTACTCGTCGCCGGCGCCTAAGGTCGCTGCGACAAGCCGTAGGCTTCTGTTCTCCAACCCCCATCCCCTCGTCGTCTCTTCCGCCACCTGCACCCCCGCCATGGCCACAAACGGCGCTGCTGCGGTAGGGTTAAAGAAGAAGGAGCTGCCCCCGCCGCCGCGATGCTCCGTTCACCGGGCCACTCTCCTCGCTATCCGGATGGAGAGTCTGTTGTAGCTCGTTTTTACTCTATGTTAGCCAAATTTTAACTTGAAGAGCCAAACAGAGATTCTGTTAGAGGAGCTATAAAATAATCGGGCACTCAATTCCTAGTCTCCTCAGTATTTTACTCAGTATTTTAGTGTTTCCTCTGTCGATATGTACCTGGGGCATAGTACGCCATCACGTTCCAAACCTCAAAAGGATTTTCACCTAACTCAACGTACCTTTATTTTTAATCTGTACTATAGCTGATCGAGTGCAAGAAAAAAAAAACACATAGGAAGTACCACCATCAGGGAATTGTCTCTACCGTTGGACCCAATCCGGCTATCACATACACATCCATTTGCCTGAGCTGTTTTGTTTTTAGAGGAAAAAAACATCGAGGAGTGCCTGAACGAATTTGACCAGACTTTAGTGAGGCGCCATTCATTCTTTGGGGTTTGAACAACACGTTTTGTTCACTACCACAGAAACCGTAACAAGGGACACACTTATATGTGTCAGTTAATATAAACCTGATAGCTTTTTCTGTCCTACAATCCCTCAAAATAGATCTAAAATTTAAACCCGACAACTAAAACACTTCATAGGTACCGGTTAATTAAAAAAACCGACACCAAAGTGCCAATGTTTTAATAAAACAGGTACCTAAAAGTGAGATAAAAGTGTCTTTTTTATATATATAACTGGCACTTCAATGGACCGAGTTGAGCCGATCGCGTGGACGTGGGATGGTAGGAGAAGAGAAAACAAATTTTTTTAAGTTGTGTCCTTGTCATCTGATCCTCCGCACCCTCCACACTTTCTTGATCCTTGCCATCTCACCCTCATCCTCACGTCCTTACCGCTCTCTTGTCTCTCTCCGATATCGATCCCTCTGCTCAGCTCCGCGTCTCCCCAATGAATGTTTTGTGTGGATTTTGTGATTTAGAATGTTGATTTAGTAATTACAATATGAGATTCATGATGCTGACTCGTGATTTATTTTGCGATTGCAATTGAGTGATTCATCGAGCTGATTTTTTTGTTTTATTGTCGCCTCCCATATCGGCGCCGGTTGTCAATCTAGCACTTATCAGTGCTGTCTCTGTGGTGCTGGTTGGAAAATCCGATACCTATTAGACTCTCTGTAGTAATGGTTAAACAAATGTTAAGAAAAATGTGTTGTCATTTCTTTCAAGATAATGAGAGATGGAGTGCATCAAGTAATGAAATTAAACCAAGGGTATTTGATTTAACTCTATCTTCAGGTCCACGTGGTTTCAGCTCCACCTAAAAAGAAGAGGAACAGACTGAAGTGCTCTCATGAAATAAACTAAAAAAGGTGGACCAGGGTTTAGGTTGTTTCACAACTTCATTATAGACCCAACTGTTGAAGTTACAACCCTACCAAACAAGCCCCAAGTATTTGCGTCTAAGAAGATACATACAGTAAAAATTAGAAAGAAACTCAAATAACCTCAACATATCTTGCTAGTTTGGGACAACAAGACCGCAACGACTATTAACCTTTCAAGAAGAAACCACTTTTAATCACCGATCTTTCATCCGAACTATCCCACAGGTCCTTTCTGGATCGATTCACACCCACATAAATCTCTGAGACATCTTTCACAAAGGAAACGAAATCAAGGTTTTACCCATAGTCAATTCAAAACATCATGTAATAGACCATTATATATAGAGCAAGTTTATCCCTCTGTGATGCAGTGGTTAGAACGACTAGGCGATGAATCAAAATAATAGGCACACGAGTAAGATAGAAATCCAATTAGAATTACAACCCACAAATTTCTTCTAGTATCTCATCAATAGTAGTGAGTAATCTCACCATAGCTTTTGTTGTTTAACTTGGCTGAAGGTCCATCGTCCCTGGAAACAGGAGGGGATTAATGTGTATGGAATAAAGACCAAGGAACCTCTCTCACACTACTAGAAAACACAATTATGCAAACAGCCAAAACATATTTTTATAGGTGGCCATCCACACCGCCTGCACTTAAAGGCTTGCGAAATACACAAATTTTATAGGCGGTGAACAGCTTCGCCTATATGAAAATCATTTCGCAGGAAGCCTCTCCATCTTTAAAGACACTACAACCACCTGCCTACTAAAACATTCTCAATGAACAAAAAAAAAATATCACCTGCCACCAACCCCACTTGCCGCCACCCTCCCCACTCCAGTCAGATCTGGTAGGGAGAGGGAGAGGGAGGGGAGAGGTGGGCCACACAGCCGCCGTCGCTTGCTATGGCCACCACCGCTGCCCTCTCCCCTCCAGTTGGATCTAGGAGGGAGGGGAGGGGACAGTGCCCTCCTCAGCCATGTGCCGTGGCCGCCGCTGTTGTAGCTCCCCTCGTCCGATCGGATCTGGGAGGGAGGGAGGGAGGGGAGGGAGGGGACCACACCGCCTCCGCTGCCGCCGTCACTCCCCTTCTCCACCCAAATCTGGAACTGGAAGAGAGGGAGGGGAGGGGACTGCGCCGCCTCTGCCACCGCCTGCAGTGGCCGCCGCCGCTGTCGCTCCCCTTCTCTAGCCATATATGGGAGGTTGGGAGGAAGGGTAGGGGAGCGCTGCCTTCGCCGCTGCTTACGCTGTAGCCTCGTTAACTGTTTTCTTATCTTTTTCCCCTTTCCTCGTTAACTGTTTCCTCACCTCAGCTTTTTTTTTCTTACGTGGCAATTTATTTAACATATAGCTGAGGTAGAGAGTTGGGAATGCTTAAAGATTCTTAGCACTATTGCCAAGATATTGCATAGACTCAAATAATTAGGCGGATAGAAGTAAATAGAGGAATAGCCACTACACATATAAGAGGCAACCTCAGGAGGAAAAAGAAAAAAGTGATGTAAGTGAATAAAAAGAAGGGAGTACCTACATGCGACAGTTTTTTTTTTGAGAAAAAAACTTTCAAATGTAACTATACTGTAATTATATATATTGTAACTAATATGTAACTGGTATGTAACTAATATGTAAGTTGCTCTTTTCTCTCAGAAACATGCAACGCTGTAAGTGGCTAGCGCACTGGATGCATGAGCTTAAGTCCACGGATCGAATCTAGCACAGATATTAAAGAACATCCGACAGTAAAGATTTGAATGTTTTGAGGAAAAAAATATGTCAAAAGTTTTTTTTAGCAAAACTGTAAAATAAAGAGTTAAAATGTAGTGGAACTCAGTGGGCGCAGCTAGGGGGTGCCGGAGGGTGCCAACACCCCCTATCCAAACACCACCACCGCTACACCCCTTGTTTTTGTCTAGTTTTATTTCTGTAGCTTAAAAGTATTATCAGTTTACTTAGTTAGTAAGTCTTCAAAATATTAGCAAGAAACATGATCTACAAAATTAGTTGGTGATTTCTCATCTTTTTCAAAGTAAAATAGATGATCCTTATTTGTGAGATTATTCAATAGTTTACATTGAAAGAATTTAGCAATCAAAACTAGTTTCATACTTTCAATGATATTATTAAAGAGCTAAAATTCAAGTTTTTTTAAAGGACTAGTTTACCCATTGATTGTTATTGACAGTGACTATTTGACCTCCTTTGCTATTAATATTAGTTATTCGGTCTCATGGCTTCGCCCCTGGTGGAATAGTGTATTAGAGATAATATATTGCATGTACCACCACTTAGGCTGTGTTCTTTTCCCCTCCTTCCCAACTCACTTCCCTGGTTTTCCACGCGCACGATTTTCAAACTGCTAAACGTTGTATTTTTTACAAACGTTTTCTATATGAAAGTTGTTTTAAAAAATCATATTAATCCATTTTTCAAGTTTTTTAGGATAATATTTAATTAATCTCACTATAATTGTGTGCTCTGTTTTCTATGTCGGGAGGCCTCCGAACGCAACATTAATTATTTAGTTGATGATGTGGGTAAAATTACAGGTAGCAAACACCCTACCATAAAACTTTCAACCGAACCACTACATTGGATAAAGCAACAATCCAAACTACTCAATAGGGCCATCGACAAGTAGGAGCCATCCAGGCGGGAATAAGTTCACATTGACTCCCTTAACTAGCGACCAAATCTGATTGGTATCCTTGAACTGCAATATCGGATATATCAATCACCAACTATTTAAACCGGTGCAATTTTGCTCCCTTGGCAGTTTTGGAGGGCAGTTTCACTAACGTGGCATCTACGTGGCAGTGTTGACCTGGTTTGTAGTGTTATAAACATATATAACATATATGTGTCGTATTATAAACATTTATGTGGGCCCCATTCGTCATTTACACAAAAAGAATTGTGGAACCCACTGACATGTGGGCCCACATGTCATCCCCTCTCTATCCTTCTTCCTCCTCCCTGTCTTCCATCTCTCGTTGTTTCTCTTCCTCTCCACTTCAGGGCGGGATCTAGAGCAGCGACAGTGGCAGGCTGTAACGCCCCAATTTTTGTTCGGGATTAAAAAACAATTAATAATGCATTTCCAGACATTATATTAAAATTTAAAGAAATTTAATCAAGTGAAATTATAGAGGGAATTAAAAGTTTTCCCTTAAAAATCATGGCTGAGAATATTTTGTAATATTCTTTGTGCCCTAAAGATTCTTTGAAATTTTCCCGTGAATTTTCGGAGCTCAAAAAGTAATTATAATAATACAAAGTTCATTTAATCAATTTAAATAAAAAGAAAACAAATTAAAATCCCCTCCCCTCCCTCTTGTGCTCGGCCCAAGCCTCCCCTTCCCCTTCCCGGCCCGGCCGCCTCCTCCCCTCTCCTCTTTCAGCCGCACGGCCCAGCTCGCTCCCCTCCCTCTCCCGCAAGTCCTCTCTGCTTCCCTCCACGGGCCACTCCTCTCTCCTTTGGCCGATAGGTGGGACCCACGATCCCACCCATTAGGTCCATCCCCTTCCTCCACCTACCCCAACTGCGCCAAGCCGCCATTGCCGCCCCACGTCACCCTGATTCCGACCCCTCCTGCTCGCGCCCTCGCGCCCAAACCACGTGGGATCGGTTTCCGTCCACCTTGTCCACCTCTCCCCAATCTTTTCCCCAATTTTCGGCGCCGTTTTGAGCCCCACTCACCCACATCGCCGGAACCCACCTCGTCGGCCATTGCCACCCGATTCCGCCACTCCCGGCCACGGTTTCCCTCCTCGAGTGCTTTAAAATGATCACCGCACCTCACCTCGTCCCTTTTCCCCTTTCCTCGAGCTCCCCGCGCCTAGAAACCATTCCCCCGCATCGCTCACTCCCTCCGCCGTCGCCGGAGTTCTCCAGTCGCTACTTCCCTCCGCTAGGGCCGCCGTCGCGCTGCGCTGCCACCGCCATGCCAAGCTCCACCTCGGCATCCACTCCATCCTCCCCTTCGACCCCCGCAAAGCCATTCCCACCGTGAGGCCGAGCCACGGGCTCTTTCCTCCGTCTCCAGCTGCTCCCCGCCGGCGAGACAGGCCACCTCTGGCCGTGCTGCTGCCTCCCACAGCGCTGCCGCTCCACGCCGCACCCCGTCCGCCGCTCCCCACCCCCAATCCACCACTGAGCCGCCACCTCCACAGCCAATCCGAGCTGTCGCCATCCGTGTTTCCTCTAGCCGCCTGCCGCCCGCCGGTGCCTGACGCTGCCTCGGCCCCTGCCGCCTCCACCGCTCGATTGCCGCTAACCGCTGCCAAAACCCTATTTCCCCTCGTCCTCTGGTGAGCATCTCCATTTTGTTCGCCATCTCCGGCCAGCCGCGTTAGCCGCCATGGTCGTCCTCCCCGCGGTTAACCCCTCTCCTCTCTTTCTGTAGGTGTCCCCGCCGCCCGTCTGCTTCTCCTCGTCGCCAGGTTGTCGCCGCCGTCTTCAACCTCCGCTCCGGCCTTTGAGCTCGCCGGTGAGGATCCCTTCCCTTCCTTCATCTCTCTCCCTCTCTCCTGTGTGCGCCATTGCCTTTGGCCGCCGCCTCCGCCCTGCGCGCCGTGCACCGCCACCTTCTGCGTCGCCGCTCGTCGCCAGCGACCGTCGGGCCGGGCGCCGCCGCTCTGCTCGCCCGTGGCCGCCCGGTCCCTTTGCCACGCTGCGCCTACTCGTGGCTGTCCGATTGGACGCCCTAGCCGATCTGGGCCGTCCATGTGTCGCTCTGGCGTCGCCCCGCGTGGGTGCCCTCGTGGCACCAGTTGGCACCACGTCCGCTCACCCATCCGTCGTGGCCGCCACATGTCTGCCACATGGAGCGCTCGCGGCAAGAGCATGCGTGGACCTGATCCACCATGCACCCGCCTCCCATGAGCCACTGACAGGTGGGGCCTGCTTGCCGGCGCCACCTAATCCCCCTCGGTGACGTCAAAATTCGTTTAAATTGCACAATAAATCGATATTAATTATAGAAATCTATTTAAATGGCTCAAAACTTCTATAATTCATAGTTAATTCATTCGAACTCCAAATTGTGTCGTTCCACTTGCAAAATTCATCTAAAATTGAGCTCTAAATCTTTGTTTGCTTTTTACGTACTATTTCCTTGGTGTTTATTAGAGTTTTTCCTCGTTTTGCATGCCAATGAGTAGATTCCGTCATTTCGGAAGTTCGCGGTCGCAAGGATCAGAGTTCATAAGGTTGTTGTGATGAAGCAAGGCAAGTCACACATTCCCCTTGAGCATTTTGATCCTAATTTACAAATGTTTTATCGTATGCAAATAAATATGCATGTTTTACTAATTACATAGGATCGGGGTTTACTTATCTGTTTGCTTGTGCCATATTAATTGATACATGTCCTTTCTCAACCTTGGGTGATAAATCGACTAGCTTGTGTTACTTTGATGATCGAGCTAGAACTATATGCTTAGCCATGCTTAATTACAACTAGCTCAGTTGATGGGATAATTACAGTATTAGACATCTTAGTATCATGGCGAGCTATGTGCTCAAGAAATCTGACCATGTTTCATTGGTCGTAATTATCCAATTAAAATGCGACTTAATGGTGGGCTATGGATGCATGATTTTGCTGGTCGCACCTATAACAAATAAGGACCGGTTCACGGGAAACCCTGGAAGGCATCAAGCATCCAAGCAAGAGTGGGTGTGATGGAGCGGGATGGCCCCTGCGACAACCTTTGTCGCTTCTGGATTCATCTAGGCACGAGAAGGGACTGCCCGCTGCCTGTTGAGGAGTGGGGGTGAAACCTGAGGTGTGGTGTGCTTGGTCAGAGGGGGTTATATGAAGGGTCTTGTCAAAATCACTCGACATGGTGACATGTCATGCATGGCACGGTGACATGCCGGTGGATTGTGTCTTGTGGGTACAGTTCTGCACCTCTGGCCAGAGTAAAATTATTCGAATAGCCGTGCCCGCGGTTATGGGCGATCGACCAGATTCACCGTGATTTGTCTCACCCTTAATAAATCGACTGAATGCATTGGTTAGCTCAGGTGGGTTGGTTGGGCCTGTTCAATGTGGTGTAGCATTGATCAGTGGATATTTAATATTACCTTAATTACTCTACAGTTTTACTGTTTTGCTCAATAAATGTTTTGCAACCGCATTTATGCAAATAGCCACAAACCTCTCTTGTGTCTCCTTGCACGTCTGCATCATTGGTATGGCTTGCTGAGTATGGTGGTTATATTGAGCCTTACTATGGTTCCCCCTTTTCAGAAGTGTAGTGCTTCCGAGCTGAAGACGAAGTTAGAGGACCAAGGCTCAGACCCCAGTTGAGTTTTGCCTGTGGAGTAGAGCTGAAGCCCCCCCTAGGATCACCTTTTCCGCTACTGTCGTTCTCTTTCAGTGTGAGGACTAAGTGCCTCTTCTGTAAGTATTTTACGCTTTATTTACGTTTGGATCTGTATATTAATTTGTCGTTTTGTGTACCCTGGCTGGTCCTCAACAGGGATTTACTACACAAAATAGTTTGG